CCCACTTGTGCTCTCTCTCTCTCTCTCTCTCAAAATAAATAAACCTAAAAACAAATAAATGCATTCTGCTACTTTATTCCTTTTTTGCTATCTCACAGTATCACAACTGAACTGTTGGAATAGCTTCTTTACTAACCTGCCCATTTCTTTTGTCACCTACTCAAGCACACCTTCCACATGGGTAGTTCATCTAAATGCTAATGAAGTAACGTCTTGTCCTTGTGTAAATCACCTCTTGGCTCTTTACCCCATATGATAAAATTCCTAATTTCTCAAGACAATGTTCAGGCTTTGGAAGCATTACCCCTTCCTTTTATTTATTTATTTTTCCACTTTTTTTGGTGCTCTGACTTTTTTGATAACTATTGAGCAACCAAGATGTTCCAAGAAAGTAGCATGTGCCATAATTACAGCTTAAACAATACTTGGGGCGCCTGGGTGGCGCAGTCGGTTGAGCGTCCGACTTCAGCCAGGTCACGATCTCGCGGTCCGTGAGTTCGAGCCCCGCGTCAGGCTCTGGGCTGATGGCTCAGAGCCTGGAGCCTGTTTCCGATTCTGTGTCTCCCTCTCTCTCTGCCCCTCCCCCGTTCATACTCTGTCTCTCTCTGTCCCAAAAATAAATAAACATTGAAAAAAAAAAAAAAACAATACAGATACTTTTCTTCACTAATAGTGTTCACAATCTAGTGGGGAATATGACATTAAGAAAAATTTGCTATTAAAAATATTACTAAAAGGTAAAAGAAAAAAAATTACTAAACCAAACCTCATTGAGTTTTTTAAACATATCCTCCTATCCCTAACCGCTTCATATTATCTTTTCATTGTCTCCTCTGGATTGACCTTTAGAACCACATCCTCATCCTGTGCATCTGGTGCTGTGGATTGAATTGTGTTCCCCCACCCCAAATTTATATGTTGAATCCCTACCCCCCAGTGTGACTGTGTTTAGAGATAGAGCATTTTTTAAAAATGTCTATTTATTTATTTTGAGAGAGAGTGCACATGTAAGTGAGGAAGGAGTAGAGAGAGAATCCCAAGCAGGCCCCGTGCTGTCAGTACAGAGCCCTGACGAGGAGCTCGAACCCACAAACTGAGATCATGACCTGAGCCAAAGTCAAGAGTCTGATGCTCAACCAACTAGCCATCCAGGCACCCCTAGAGAGAGAGCTTTTAGGAGGTAATGGAGATTAAGTGAAGCATAAGGGTGGGAATCCTAATCCAGTAGGATTGATGGTCTTACAAGAAAAGAAAGAGAGAGACAGATTTCTCTCTCTACACATAGGCACCAGGCAAAGGCCATGTGAGGACACAGCAAGAAGTGGCCATCTGTAACCCAGGAAGACAATGTCACCAGAACCCAACCATGGTGATACTCTGATCTTGGACTTCTAGCCTCTAGAACTGTGAGGAAATAAATGTCTGCTATTTAGTCTACCCAGTCTGTGGTATTTTGTTATGGTAGCCCAAGCATCTAAGACACTTGGCTCTTTATTTTTCTTTTTTCATTTTATTTTTAATTGTAGCAAAATGCAGAAAATATATATCATTGTAGCCATTTTTTAACTGTACAGTTCAGTAATATTAAGTACATTCATATTTCTATGCACCCAGTCTCCAGAACTCTTCATCTTGCAGAACTAAAGCTGTATATCCATTATTTTTTGTAAATGTTTATCTATTTATTTTGAGAGAGGTCATGAGCAGGGGAGGGGCAGAGAGAGAAGGAGAGAGAATCTTAAGCAGGCTCTGTGATGTTATTGAGAAGCCCGTCTCACTAACCATGTGATCATGACCTAAGCCAAAATCAAGAGTCAGGCACTTGACCAACTGAGCCACCCAGGTGCCCCAAGCTATATATCCTTTAAACAACAGCTCATCATTCTTCTCAGCATTTGGCCTCTGGCAGCCACCACTCTACTTTCTGTCCATTAATGTCCCTACTCATATAAGTAGAATCATATAGTAATTGTTTTTTTGTGACTCATTTATTTCACTTAGCATGAAGTTCTCAAGTTTCATGCATGTATCAGAATTTCCTTCTTTTTTTTAAGGCTGAATAATAATACATTGTGTGTATATACCACATTTTATTTATCCCTTCATCAGGTGTTAGACACTTAGGTTACTTCCACCTTTTGGTTATTGTGAATAATGCTGCTATGAGCATAGGTGTACAGATACCTCTTCCAAGAATGCCAGTCTTGTGGGTATTTATTTCCCAAAGTGGCATTGCTGGTTCATGTGGTAATTCTACATTTAATTTTTTGAGGAACCACCGTACTGTTCCACAGTGGCCGTGCCATTTTATATTCCCACCAGCAGTGCACAGGGATTCCAGTTACTCTACATCCTTGCCAACACTTGCTATTTTCTGATAGTGGCCATTCTAATGGAGATGAGGTCTGGCTCTTTACTTTTGACCTGCTATGAGTCAGCTTTGGTTGCCTCATCCAGGAAGTAATACTCTTCTCTTTCCCCTTGTCTCCCTCTGTGCTAATTTCCCCTTTTCTGAATCTGCACAGCCCCATTATAACTTCATGCATTGGTGCAAGTCACCTGATAATGTATTTGTCTCTCCAGTTAGACTATTAGCTTCAAGGTGTGGAACTACCATGGGTTCATTTTCATATGCTCCATTCTAAGCCCTCTTCTTTAGTTGAGAATGCTCATTAAATTGTTTTTAATAAAAGATTATCTCCTCTCTATATAGAACTAGGCCACTGAAAAAATTTGGATTTCTTTTTTTTTTAATGTTTATTTATTTTGAGAGAGAGCCGCGTGTGTGCACGCACACATGCATACATGAGCCAGAGAGGGGCAGAGAGAGAGGAGAGAGTGAATCCCAAGCAGGCTCCGCACTGACAGCACAGAGTCCGACTCCAGGCTAGATCCTATGAACCATAATATCATGACCTGCACAGAAGTCAAGAGTTGGAGGCTTAACCATCTGAGCCACCCAGGCACCCTAAGAATTTAGATTCCTATTTTCAGA